AGAGAGAGAGAGAGAGCGAAGCTGGGATTGTTGGAGTGAGTGGAGTTGTTCAAGGCCCAGGGATGTGTGAGGTTACCCACCCTGCCTTAGTCATAACCAGTTCAGTTACGATAAAATCTGGCCAATAGAAAGCAGAAGAATGACTTCTAAGAAGCTGGGATTGTTGGAGTGAGTGCAGTTGTTCAAGGCCCAGGGATGTGTGGCCTCTGGATTTTTGGAGGTTACCCGCCCTGCCTTAGTCATAACCAGTTCAGTTACGAGAGAGCAACATTTTAGTGCAGGCTTTGGCTTAGCTCCTCATAATCCACTTGTTAAAGAGCACAACTGTTGTGTTGAGAGCTGAATCAGCAGGAGCCCAACAACAACCAAAATGAAGAAGCCAGTTGGTCTACTAAGAGCAAGGCCGGCTGTGCTGGTGGCGGCTCTGCACTCAAGTTTCGTGATTGCTGAGCTGACACTCGTGAACGTTGCAGCGCCTCCTACAGTAGCAGCACAGACAGCCTCAGTAGCGCAGCCCTTCATGGCAACTTCTTGAGATGTTTCACCTGGCATCGGAGGAGCAAAAAAAGGGAGAAAAAGAGAACAAGATGGTGGTTAGCCACAAGGGGGCAGTAGTTGATCATCTATCCATTTCTCAAAGCCCAGAGAAAGAAGTCCTTGTCTTCCTAGAGATGGCTTTCCCCCTTCAGAGCAGACAAATCTTGTGTGATTTGTGTTTTTATTTTAATCTTAGAGCTGCAGAGCTGGAAAGGACCTTATGGATCATCAAGCCCAGCCCTTGTCAAGAAATCACAGCGGGGAATCAAACGTCTAACCTCAGGTCCTGCGGTCAGATAACTAAACCACTGAGCTGTCCACCAGCTATTGATTAATAGATGGGCCTTTTCAACCCTTTCGATTACAAGGAAGAATATCTAAAATTCAACAACAGAAACATAAAACAGCATGATAAAACAATGCAGTTTTCCCCTCCAATATACCAGACAGAGGAATCAGTAAAATAGACCACAGAGATACCCAGTATGGTGTAGTGGACAAAGTGATGAATAGGAATCAGGACCCTGGGTTTGAATCTCCACTCAGCCATGGAAACTCACTGGGGGTGTGGAACTGGTGAAACCACTCCTTAAATATCCCACTTACTTTGAAAGCTCTATTAGGGTTGCTGTAAGATTTGACAGCACATAACAGGACCTAGTAGCAACTTCGTTGCTTTGGTTAATGAGATTGATGTTGAAAGCTGGAAACTTATCCATAAAGAAACCAAATGATAACGTTGCACTAGGCATACATTCTCATGAAAGCTTGCTGTCCATCTATTGTGTCCAGCAGATCAGTGCAGAGAATATATTGCTTCTAAAATCTGACTGCACAAAGGGCACATCAGCAATCCCACATATCTGTTGTTGGGGCTTACCTGGTGTGGCAGAGGTGATGGGCAGCCTTATCTCACTGAGCAACAGCAGGCAGCTGAGCCCAGATGCCACACTGATTTCCCCAAGTGCCCCTGAGTGAGGAAAGCATTACTGCATGGTGCAAAATAGCACTCTTTCTAGTCTCCCAGGGCTGCTCAGAGTGCTGGACCAGATTCTTCCCTTGTGGGGAGTGGGTAGGCAAATCGAGCATTAGGATTAGACCTTGCTGAATAGATACTGCCTGCTGATACAAACCCTATAATAGAAGTGTGTGGCAAAATTCATTTTCCTTATGTAGATGAGGTCACTTCCTGTTTCTTAAAAAGGTCTGGCAGGGGCTGAAAATCCTGTACATGGCCTGCTGCCTTCCCCAGAAGCCTTCAGCAGTTTCATTGGCCATTTTCACTCCAATGGTTTTTCAGTGGAAGGTGCCAGAGGGCTTGGCCCTTGTACAAGGGCAGGGGTTGGTGAAAATTGCTCCTGAACCTAGCTCATCTCTGGTTTAGACAGAGTCCCTAACAGTGTAACTCCATCTACTCAGTATTGAGCCCCATGGAATTCAATGGGACTTATCTCTAGGTACATGTGTATAGCAGTGTATACATCTTGTACCCACCAATGCCTACACATGGATGTCATGAATCTCTACTGCTGCCAAATTCCTCCTCCCTGAAAAGAATCAAAACAAAAACCACAACCCCATTCTTTCACCATCACTGGCAGCAATAAGGAAGGAGGAATTTGTGTCAGGAATTAGAGAACTAGTTCTTTCTTTCTTTCTTTCTTTCAAAAAAGTATGACATAATGTTTCTATACTGGGGATAATCGCCAAAGCCAGCAAGAACACAAACCAAATGCACACACATATGAATGACTAAATAATTTACCCGAATATACGTATCCAGCCAAATCAATGCAATGAGCTTCTGCTCCAACACAGTCCACTGTGTCATCTTGGCATGACTCAGAAGATGAGGTGTAGCAGGCTGGGCACCGCAGGCCATTGAGCTTGGTATCTAAGCGGGGCACTGGACAAATAGAAAAATGGACATCAGCTTTTGGTAAGGATTCTGTGTGATAAGAGCACAGGCCCATTGAACTGTAGCAACATCTTTGGGCTAAAGCTTGAGGGGATGAAGGGAAACCATTTGTTTCACCCATGCACTCCTCCTCCCCAAGAATGTTGCATTGCTTTACATAGCAAAGGGCAGCCTGAATGTTGACAACACCAATGGCAGCACTCAAGATGGTCTACAGGATACTCTCTTCTACTCAGCACCATTCACAAAATGACAAAAAGCAAGGGGAAATACCAGAAGCTGATTCCTTTTTTCATCAGTTAACCACATCTCACCCAAACACAAAGTAATTGTCAGGACTGTTTTTCAGGGCTGTGTGGAAGAGAGAACAGTCAAAAATGAGACACTATTGGTATGCAAGATCTGAGGACAGCTGTTAATGACATGACATTTTGGAGATCATTAACTCATATAGTCGCCACATATCAGAAGTGGTTTGATGGCACATAATATCTTTGTATTATTTTCTTAATTACCAGACAATTATATAATGACAAGATGGGTAGAGTGGTTGAAACTATGACAGCATATAGGCACAAAGGCTCTGCTAACATCGAGTAAGACCATCCCTGGCCACAAAGCAAAAAACAGCTTAAATGAGTGAGCTTCTGAATATTTGTTCTCCTCTTTTTTTTAAAATCTCTTTTAAAATATTTTTACAACCAGACACAGAATCCCTTTGTCAGCATGAATGCCTGTTTGTGTAAGAAGGAGTTAAAAAGTTATCCTCCTGAGAATCAACTAACTGCATCCTGACTGACAGGGTCAACATTTCAGATTGCCCTAGATCTGGAGCTGATTTTCTCCTTTGAAGATTTGTCTCAGAAATCCTGAGACAATGTTTGTTGAAAGCACTCAGGGCTGGGAGAAACACAAGTAATGCAGAAATACTATGAACATACCTTTAAAAATTGTATGCTGATTCCCTACATATACATGGGAAAATATCCCCCTTTCTGGAGGACTGCCCTTCTATTACTTTCTTTAAAGTAATCCTGTGGGGTTTCCCCCCCACTTCAAAGAACACCTGTTGCCTGATCGTTTCTATGAACTTCCATTACCCCCCAAACATCTCTGTTCCAACCCACAAAACTTCAACAATATATTTGCTTTTGAAACTCTTGCTAGTAAGACTGATCTAGGCCTTCTCAATCTTGTAACAATGTGGTTGTCTTTCCCTTTTGAAAGGCCTTTTTTGAGGATCCATATTTCAGCCCTGCAACCTGATTATTTCCAATTTTTTAAAAAGCAGGTGAAACCTACCATTCCCATTCAAGATAAGCAAGACTGGTCTTTTTGATTTATATGAGCTATTTTAAATCTTGGGGACATTTAGGATTGCTTGTTTTGCATGAGGGGTTTTACTTTTAAAAAAATCATAACTTAAAAACCCCTTATCTAAATTTCACTATATTTGGCACAGAGCAAGACCAGACCATCTGCGACATCTGTGCCAAATCTGATGCTGATCTGAACTCCAGTTTCAGAGTTGTAAGTTTTTGTTTGGGCTGCCCTTATTTTTAGAGCTGCTTGGTAGAATGTTGATTTGCTGTGCTGCATAATAACATTTTTCTCTCAGCAGCAGAGAATGGTATGCAGACAACGTTTTGCTTCCATCAGTTCTGAATTCATAGTATGTGAGACACAGAGACACAGCAAGTAGTGGGTCAAATAGTTCCCCTGTTATTTTTCAGCAAAGATGGTAAGATCCTTCTACCATGAATTGGAAACCACCTGAAGATCTCCCATTTCACAAATGCCCATGAATGAGAAAACACCTGCAGATCTGCCTATCCACAGAAAGCCATTTACAAATAGACAGATAAAGTAAATTATACAGAGAAAAGCATTTTATTTATTTATTTATTTATTGGACTTATATACCGCCCCATAGCGCTGAATTATACAGAGAAAAGCATCTTTATGGCAAATTTCTAGCTACAGTTCTGGTGAACCTGTGGCCCTGGAGATGTTGTTGGACTCTGGCTCCATTCAGCACTAGCCATTCTGGCAAATAGTAAAGTACAAAGAGTATAATAGTAGTTTATTATCATCTAGAGAGCGCTGAAGTTTCCTCAGCCCTGTTTTAGTATTCAGAACAGTGTAGTAGTAAATTTGGAAATGAAGATGCTCATCCTGCCTGTCTTCATAACCAGCCCCCCACCCTGAAAGAGTCCAAAATAGTGACAGCTGGACTGATCAAGATCAACGTGAGTTTTGATAGGTTTTTGTTTCCGCCAGGAGCAGGTATTTTATAATGGCAACGGCTCTTAGTTGCCCTTTCAAGAACAAATAACATCAACACCCTGTATTAAAACAGCATTAGTTTGCAACAATATATCACTCTTGGAAAATCCATTTTTCTCCAGCTGCTGTGAAGATCATAGCTGAACTCAGAGGGAACAGGGAAAGCCTAAGGAGGTTGCAGATGATGTCACAGTGCCTGTTAATCAGAAAATCCTGAGGCTTTCACCCTGTAACCTCTGATTCCATTACTCACTAATATAAAAGCACTGACTACAGGGAGCAAAAATTATCATGGGCAACTGGCAGGCACTGTCAGTTTCCTCAAACAGCATGGGTCTTCTTCATCTGTCCAATAAATTTAATCTGCTGTCCATGTATTGGAATATATTTGTGCCGAAGTACTGTAGGTATACAGATCTACTCTGGAGGCCAGAAACGTCTGCTGCCTGCAATTCATTTATTCGTTGCTTGTGCAGAAAACAGCTCTCATGTTTGAAGATGGCCTTCTTCAGCTAACCACTACAGCTGTGGGAAGGGAGAACTTGCCAAAAGTGCACCATTTCCAGTTTCATTCTTGTACCAAATCCTGGCAATACTGGATTATGCAAACAATCCAAGGAATATGTCAGAATCGCACTATTTTTAGGAGTAGACTTTCTAGTCTGTCGCACCTGAAACAACCCAATGCTTCTGCAGGCCCTAGCCCCCTCAGGCACATTGCAGATATATCTGAATTGTGTATCTCATATTCTCTGCGGCTTCTTGAACAGCCAAAACATCTGGGGCCAATCATGGCCTGTGATGGCTGGACTGCACTTCCTTTAAGAAACCCCCAATAAGTGCATACAGTAGCATGTACAGAAGGACTAGGGAGGAAAGTGGCAAATGGATACTTACATGTCACAACAGAGGCTCTATTGCAAGCGTTGTCCTTGCAGCAGAACATAGTGGTCCTGGATCTTCCCTTTTTGCCTATGTTAATATCAGCAGAACCAGCTCCACAAACACTGGATGGGACACAGTTCTTCACGATGCCATTAACCTTTACTTCTTCTGTGGGGGGGGGGAAGCAGATTGTGATGGTACATAAAAGTTCCAAACTTAAGAACATCTTTAAAATCATTGAGAAGCGAGAAGCCCACAGGCATGTTGCCTTTCACACAGGTGCCTCTTTTCATTATAAAAAACAACATCAACAGGAAAATCATTATTATGATCAGTCGTCACTTGTCAGCTGGTCTGGGCCCCTAAAGTAGATTGCAGAATTAATCATCGTATGAAGTAAAATACAGTACAGGAAAATACAGACTCTGAAAACTCTATGCTTAAAATGATAGCATGAAAATTACAACTCCATTGTTGAGTCTGTGCTGCCAGACACACCCAGGATTCAAAGTAGCAGCAAAGGCTGTTAAAAATTAAAATGGTAACATCCAGGCTAACTAGATCTCCTGAGGCAGAGGAATGACAACAAGGGTGCCATTACAGAGAACATTGTTTATATGTTGGCCAATGTGAGGAAGGGGATAGGGAGAGAGCATGTCCCATCAGGCAGCTGTCCCTTCCCCAACAAGTGACAGCTGCAATAGAAATAAGAGAGACCTCTGCTGGAGAGGGAACCAAGTCCTTCCCGGAGAGTACACTGGCAAAAGCAGAAAGCCTGGGAATTATGAAAAGGCCAGGATATTTAGAAATAAGGAAATGCAGGGAAAAAGGGGAGGAGTCAGTGACTAAGAGGGAGCAGGAAGTTGAAGAGAAGGAGGGAAGGTGAGAGACAGTGGAGAAGGAGAAGCATGGAACTAATGGGCTGAGAAGAATAGGTTGGAGGACAACCTACCTAATGGATAGTCAAGGATGACCCAGGGACTGGAGACTAGGTTCAGTTGAAGGCCCCTAGGAAAAAAATGGGGCTACATATGGGAAGAGTTTGGAAGTTAAAAGTGGACATCTAACGGGGTCAGTGAAGAGAACGGAGACCACATGTATGTTAAAGCCAGTGGAAGAATCTCAAGAGAAAGACAAGTTGTTATTAATTAAACAAATTGAGTTAAAACAGGAGCAAGTGCCTGTTCCATCTGCTAAGGAGGAGGTGGGATGCGGGAGAAGAAGGCATGCGGGAACCTCACATCCACCAACATTTCCAGAGAAAAGAGAATCTACAGTGGGTGTTTTTCAATTTATATCAATAAACCACAAATTCTGTATTTTGGATTCTGAAAATGATCTGATTGTGAAGTCTATGCCATCTTTTTTTTTTTTTTTTTTGGATTGCTTACCCCGTTCACTTTCAAACACAGTGATGCCACAGAACTCATGGTCTGAAGGACATGTCTCGATTTCACCAGTGCAGTTGTGGCCGAGACCCATGCAAACTTCACATTGTAGAGCAGTCCCTGGAAGACAGACAGGGGCAGAGTAGGGAGATGAAAGATATTGTGGATTTTACAAATTCCTGTTTCCATTTACTCATCTGATTTTCAGGAGAAGAAATGGCTGAACTCTGGCCTGATGTTCTCTCTGATGTCTCATACCTATCTTCCTGAATCAGAAGAACATGCGTGATAAGATAAACTCCTGACTGCATGGTTCATTCAGGTTAATTATCGTACATATAGAATTGTATGGTTACAAGAAGCAAACAGTAAGAATCTGGATTATCTTCAAAAAAGTGTTCTGGGAGTTCTGGTCTAAAAAGCATCTTTTCAAAATTCCACAGCAGATTATGTAAGAGTGCAGTCCTGGGGTGGGCATAATCAATAGTCTCTTCCCACAGAGTAAATCTACCTTAACATACACATAGGCCAGCTGTATCTACTAACTGTCAAGCAGTAAGTGGTGTTTACTGCTCCTCCTTCACATCTATTTGGGTCAGAGGAAGAGGCAAATGATCAAGGAATTTGCCACGGTGAAGGGGGAAATGGGCCCATATCTGTCTTTGCAAGCTGTGTCCAATTATGCTGACTCTTGATCCTGCCCCTGCTAGACTAGTCAAGGAATAATACATGCAGATCCTGCTCAACAAAAGGTACATTTGGATCTAATAGTGCATCTCTGGGTGCAGTAGCACAGCAAGATTTTCTGACTCCCATTTTTTACCTACAGTCTTCTCTCTACCCTCAAACTACTAAAATGACAACATTTAGAGGTAACTAGGCAAGGATTTTTATGTGGAAGAACTGTGGACTCTTTTGTGTTCTGCAATTAAAAACAAAACTGGGCTCAAAATTCTTTTATTCCAAGTGTATTTTTTTTTGCACTAGGCTCTAGTGTGTGTGTCTTGGAGTTCTAGCAAAAAGTCAAAATGAGACAACACACACGCACACCAAAAAAAAACCAGAAAGACCAAGAAACTTTCAAGTCTTTCCATTCTGATGAGGATTTGGAAAACACTTTGAGATGTTCCTCTAGATTTTCATCAGTATAAAAAAGATGAGGGATAAATAGCAGCACTTGTCTAATGAAGTTCTTGTTATGTTGCTATGTTGACACGGGTAGAGCAAAAACGACACAGCAACATAACTTGTTCATCTGGATCATTTACCTCCTTAGGGATTCCAAGGTATGTGAGGTATTTAAGGAGTGGCTTTACTAGTTCCACACCCCCTACTGTGGAGCAGAGATTTGAGTTCCAGCCTCCTGAGTCTGTACATCACTCTGTTCATGACACCGCACAGGGTATGGCAAAAGCTATAGGTAAAGGTAAAGGTTCCCCTTGACATTTAGTCCAATTGTGTCCGTCTCTAGGGTGCGGTGCTCATCCCTGTCTCCAAGCTGTAGAGCCAGTATTTGACCATAGACAGTTTCCGTGGTCACGTGGCCAGCACGACTAGACACGGAACGCCGTTACCTTCCCACCATGGTGGTACCTATTTATCTACTCGCATTTTTACATGCTTTCGAAATGCTAGGTTGGCAGGAGCTGGGACAAAGCAACGGGAGCTCACTCTGTTGCGTGGATTCTGACCCTGCAGCACAAAGGCTTCTGTTGTTTAACTTGCAGCGCCACCATGTCCCAATGGCAAAAGCTATAGAGAATGATAAATCGCCACACCCTGCTCTAGGTTCTGAGTTTTTGACAGAAATGGCTGCCTTAGACTGTCATTATCTTTGCGGCTAAAAAGACTAGACTTCAAGATGGGAGACAGGCAGGCAGATAGACAGACAAGGCCCAGATTAAGATAATTAATTCATATTAAACTATATTAAATAAACTACAAGAATATGGCAATGGTCTGACTGACATCATCACCAAATCAGTATGTCAGGCAGACTCAGCAAAATAGTCCATGTCAATCCAGATTACGTCCTAGTTCAAAACTAATAGAGTGGTGCCATCCCATCCCCTACCCTCATCCTGGATCAATGTGGAGAATGTGCAGCTCTCCAGGTTTCACTGGACTGCATCTCCATCAGGTCTCACCACTGGAGCTTATGGTGAGGGGATATTGGGCTTTGCAAGACCAGATGTTTCCTATTCATGTCCTCCTTTATTCTCTAGATAGTAAAGTGACTATAAAAAGCAACAGGCACCTTCCCACCACAATTAATTTATTTGATTAGTCTTTCCAGTCTTTCCATTAATTATCATAACCTGTTTGTATTAATATCTAGTATGATTATAATTAATATTGAATACCTAACAACCAGGCATTCATCACTAGCCTAATTTAATTTTGATTAATACTGTATTCATTTCCTGATACTTTGTTACTTTAGTGCCTTGTTTGGAAGCAAGATTAGTCAAATCATAAAGACGGTATATGGAACTGATTTTAAAATTGACACTTGTGTCATATAATCAATAAATCCTCCGACAGCATATTAACTCTTGTGCAATTTCCTTTCCTGAGTTTCATTTTCAGTGACGTGATGAGCTACTCACAATGGGAAGGATGCTACATCTTTCACATACTGTATATGTTCAGCTGGCACTAATAGAATTTAAAAAATGAACCTTTCAAAAATGATGAATATCCAGTTTCAGAAATGAGATTAATATAGCCATTTTATTTACTCTTAATGTATTTATATAAATGATTATATATCACCTGCTTATGTACCCATTCACCAGGCAGCTAACAATAGTGCCAAACAAGGTAACATGCAATACAATTCTGAACATCAGAGACATAGTCTATGATTAAAAATTTTAAATATATGATATGTAAATAACTTTCATATGTAATATAGAAATATATGAATTTTATGTAGTATGTTATATATGTGTTGTATAAAATTACATAAAACATTGGACTAGAAACTGTTCATCTGATAAAATGAACACTTGTTTGGACAAGTTCCACAATTATGGCATATATATCATTCGGAAATATTATTCTGAAACACACAGAGGTGTATACTGAAGCTTATAGAGTTTTGGAACAGCAAGTAGATTTTCGTAATCTGGCATGTGAGTGAATCCGATTACATCATTAATTCCATGCGGCTTAAGAATGCCCTTGAGCATGCCTACCATGTATCTCTCTCTTTATCTCACTTTTTACATGTGTGCGTACGTGCACACACACATACACACTGCAGGAGCAAGTAAGCACACCACTGACCCCATAGCATAATAATACTCACTACAATTGAATGAGATACTCACCTCTGGCTACAACTGCTAGGAGGAGGCAAATGCCAAGGGAAGCCTGCATTATGGTTGAGTAAGAACTGGGTTAGGCTTCTGATGTGGCTAACTCTTCCACCTGGCACTTATAGTCTTGCAGACAATTACTGCAAATGAGGGAGGAGTATTCAAAAGCATCTTTCCTCCTCATGGATGCACTATTGGAAAGGAAGTGGAGCAAGCATGGCGCCTTTTTCATTGTTGCACTTCAATCTCACTTTTCCTCTAGGGAGTGCAAAGGGCCTTCCATTCTGCTCCCCCCCCCCTTTATCCTCCCAACAAGCTCTTTACACAGGGTTTCATGTGTGACCAGGGAGGTTGAACTTGCTTGTCCTAACTTCTTTATCTTCACACAGCAGACTCCATGGAAATATTTAGACTCCATGATGGGTTTTGCCACAGGAAACTGGTGGTTTCTCATTAATCCATTGAGCGAGACAACAGCTGAAATCTTCCTCAACCCTGATGAAATAAAAGGCCCCAGCAGCAAAGCTGACATGGCACAAGCAACATTCGGTCAAGAAAAAGATAATTTCGACGTGCGCAACAGGATGCTTCCGTGCACAAGTGCTTTTGTCACTGTAGGACCTAAGGCATTAATGTCAGCAAAAGCTGTTAGCACCAGCAAAGAGAAGAGATGGTTGTTGTGGGTTTTTCAGGCTCTTTGGCCGTGTTCTGAAGGCTGTTCTTCCTAACGTTTCGCCAGTTTCTGTGGCCGGCATCTTCAGAGGACAGCACTCTGTGCTCTGGTGTAGTTGGCTTTGGGAGTGAACTAACCAGAGCACAAAGTGCTGTCCTCTGAAGATGCCGGCCACAGAAACTGGCGAAACGTTAGGAAGAACAGCCTTCAGAACACGGCCAAAGAGCCTGAAAAACCCACAACAACCATTAGATCCTGGCCATGAAAGCCTTCACGAATATAAAGAGAAGAGACATTTGGCTGGAAAATAAATGATGTTATATTGCATGGGTATGAATTGGGCAGCCCCCTTGAAAACCCTCAGCAGGTCCCTCCATCACTGGAAAAAGCATCCCAAAACAGAAAATCCTGTCCCCTCCTCCAGAGGATCCAACTTTCTATTTTAAGGACAGGTGAGGGCTTCAAATTTTGAGGGTTGAAATAGACTTCTAGTCACCTCTGATTTTGGGGGGCAGGGACAGCAGATACATCTCACAGGGATCCAGGGGTGGGTGGGTGGAAGACAGACAGTGACAAATGCCATACTGCCCACAAGTGATACAGTGTCAAGGGAATCACAAGCTCAACTCACACATGCCATGCCCAGTCCTCCTCCAGAACAGCCAGAAGAAGGAGATGGAAAGCTTGTGTTTTAATGAACCAACAGTTTACCATCATTTCTGAAACCTAGACTGTGGTTATGATATATCATTATATATAATATATATTATTATGATAATAGTGATTGATTAAAAAGAAAATAAGCCAGCTTTATAAGCTATAAAGTAGGACTGCTGTATCTGTGAGGGATCTACGAGGGATCCATTCCACAATCTACCCCAAATGCCTGAAACCACAGCCTCGTGGCGCAGTGGTTAAAACGCTGTACTGCAGCTAAAACTGTGCTCACGACCTGGGGTTCAAATCACAGGTAGCCGGCTCAAGGTTGACTCAGCCTTCCATCCTTCCGAGGTTGGTAAAATGAGTACCCAGCTTGCTGGGGGGGGGCAATGTGTAGCCTGTAAACCACCCAGTGAGTGCCTGAAGCACCATGGGGCAGCATATAAGCAGCACACTTTGCTTTTGCAGGCTTTAGTTGATTTACAATTCAAACTATCAGGAGGGCCATTGAAGTAAGCAAGAAGGGATAAATAAATAAAATAAATAAATAAAATAGCAACAAACCCTACATACAACATACAAGGAGGTGGGACAAAGGCCACAAGGGGGCAGGACGAAGATCACAAGGCCTGCCCCCTTGTGTGTTGTATATAGGTCTGCAGTATACAGCAGATAACTGAAACCATGGATACTGATCCTGTGGATATGGGGCTCCTACTGTAAATCGAAGTTAGCACTTTCTGGGTTCTGACATAACTGTGGGTGGTCTAAACCCCAAACAAAAACTTCCAGTCTCTTTTCAGCTGTGCTGGAGGAAGAAAGGGGAGCCTATGTGTGAACTTCGTTGAAGCTCATTCTTATAACCATAAATGAGAAACATTGTCACTAACCTCACATAGCAAATGCTGAATGCACTGGTGTTTCTTACATGAATTGTAACACTGAGCAAATGTTACCAGACCACTTCCTCTGTAATGCTGAATGACTAAATTATACAGCAATATTTTAAAACAGGGAACATTTACCCATCTAGTGTTTTGGACTATGTGTCCCATAATCCTTCACCATTGGCCTTCCTGGGTGGAGCTGATGGAGATGATAGGCCAAAACAGCCAAATGGCCAGAAGGTACTCCTCTCTGTTTTGTACCAAAACAGGTGCCAGTTGAGCTATTTCAAAAGTGGTGGCTTTTTCACCCCTTTGGTTCTGCATGGGGCCCCTTGTGACCATGGGGCCCCTTGGGTGCCCACCAACCAGATGTTTGATTCACATGAAGCAAATATCTTCTCATGTGGAGAGGTTCTTTCCTAGACAACTGCCTTAAATGAAGGGACACTCGAGGGTGGAACCAACATAGGCTGATGATGCTGAGGGCGGGGCTTAGAACACCGTTTGACTTCTGTTTCTAGCTATGAGTGACCAACAGATGTACTTCAGGATTGTTTTATTTTATGCAAAACCAGTATTTGGGGCTTCAACTAAATATTTGAAGAGGATGAGGGACAGTCTTAACTTTTTTCTTAAAATCAGTAATTCCCATCCAATATATTCGCGAAGGCTTTCACGGCCGGGATCTAATGGTTGTTCTGGGTTTTTCGGGCTCTTTCGGGCCTTCAGAACACGGCCAAAGAGCCCGAAAAACCCACAACAACCATTAATTCCCATCCACCTATCATCTAATCAAGACATTTATATTCCTCATTTTTGCCAACTTTTATTGTCAAAATAACTTTGCGAGGTAGATGAGGCTGAGACTGAGTAAGTAGTACAAGACCACTCAGTAAGTTCCATGGCTCAGCAGGGACTAAAGCCTGTATCTCATAAGACCAATCTAGCAATTGAACCAGTACCTCACACCACCTTTCTACATGATGGTGGAAAAATCTACTGGTAATCTTGTAGTAGAAACCCAGTGCTTCATAACAGATACCCACCAGATGGCTCCAGGACATTCAGAGAGAGAGAACAAACTCAACAGCCAATAGCCAACAGGCTGCTGTAGTGAAATAGGTAAGACATAAAGCTACAAATTAGGAAGCTCTGTATTTGCTACAAGCAGCTCATCTACTGCATGTCTGCTACAACTCCCACAATATCTGATCGTAATGGCAAAAGCTTAAGGAGTAGTTTATCACCTATTCCAGTCTTCTGGTCAAACTAGACAAATGTGAAATCCTAGCCTACTCTGCCATGATATCTGGGGGTTGACCACTGCTCAGTGGTAGAGCACATCCATGGAAAGGATCACTATCTCAGCATCTTGTATTGAACAGAATTATGTCTCTCCTGAAATCCTGGAGAGCTGCCACCACAAGTCAGTCCAACCAACAGACAGAAAATCTGACCTAGTAGTGTAAGGCAGCAACCTATATTCCCATTGTTTCTCCCCACAACCCTCGGTATTCTGGGGACAACTTCACACACCCTCGTTGCCTGTACATATTGTTCAGTGAACCAGGATTCTGCCCTCCTATGCTGGTGTCTGTCACACTGTGAAGGGGTTGCTCACAAATTGCAGATGCCAATGTTGTGGCTCATGACTGTTTGCCAGAAAACCCATGAGTCATCCTGCTTGCTTCCTTTCAGGCTAGCACACGCCTGTAAACAAGTCTCATCCCAGACTCCAGCAGCCGCCCACACCCCTCTCAGGAAAGCAGGCTTTGACTGACACAGCACCTTAGCCTCTCTCTCTTCAAGCATGCATGTTCCTTTATGGGGGAGGACACCTTTGCTGGCTCATGAGGAAACACTTCTTGGACCATTCTTCTCCTTGTGTGTGACTTTCTGCTTTCAAAATTGCCTCTGAGTTTTTGGTAGCTTCTGAACATGATGATGTGCTGCTTCATAGGGTTAGCATGATCATTATCCAGATACATACCATTATGAGATTAGAAGTAAACGCTATGTATACAAAACACTGCGTACCTCATCCTCCAAAAGCTTTCGCTTTATGGTTTTCTTCTCTTGCTTTCCAGTGTTCATTTTGTAAAATTGGATTCGGCAGGGCTTCAGCAGTACCTGTCCATTCAAAAGCATGCCTGCTTATCCCTCTTTGAGGTCTGCTACATTTCCTCAAAGGAAGTGTGATATGCCAACAAGTAGTCTACAAAGAGGCTTTTGAAGCTACCTGCCCGCTTGCTTGAATGCATGCGTTCCTTCTTACCAACTGCAAGATACAACAAAACTTGTTAGACTTTATCCTTTTTCAGACTGAGTTAATCTCACCTTCCTACCAAAAAGGGCAGGGAAAATAAAAATGAATAGGATTGAAATGTGAAAATTGGCAGGTATATCTGCAGCAATCTTTTTCATGGGGGAAGGCCTGTATAGTGATGCATTAACCACTGCAGCACAGTGCTTATCAGAATATATTAAAATAATAAATTTAGAATTCAAGGCAGAAAACACATGCAAACACTCAAGAAAACAGATTAAAAACATGTCAGTCAAAACCCCCAACAACCTGCTTCAAATACATATGTTTAGATACCAAACTTTGTATTATTATTTCTTCTTTCTCTCTTCTCCTAAAGTCAGCCTGCTTGATTTCTTTTTCTTTCACATTCTGTTAAGAATGCTTTCGGGGGTGGGGGTAGGAAAGATAGTGAGGAAAACAATATATGCATCTCACCAGCTGAAGACCAAAACTTATAAACGATTCTTTCCATAGGTCCGACAACAACTGCTGAGCCCCAAATGTGGCATAATTAACAGCATATCTCTTCACAGAACTCTTAATGTGACAGAAGCTTTCTTTGGGCAGAAATTGCCACTCATATAAGGAACAAATGCTCTTCACCCCCTGCTTACTCTGCATAGCTAGCCCAAGCATTAGGCGGAATGAGGAATGTCTTCAGGTGGCAGATTCAGTGAGCCAGCAGTGGCACTCTTCCTCGTAAGCTTCCTCCTTCTTTGGAATGACACTGTGCTATGTATGCCCTACAGCATGTTCTCCACCCCCTAGGTTCACCTGGTTCCCCAGAGAGTGCAATCTCATTGCAGATAATGAAGTCATGTTCAATGCCAGATGTGACAGTACAGTACATTCAGTCTCTATGTGTGGAATGAAGGAAGTGCAACCTTTGTCCTTTGCTTCAGGCAGCAAAGAATATAAGGTTTAATGGTTGTCCTGGGTTTTTCAGGCTCTTTGGTCGTGTTCTGAAGGTTGTTCTTCCTAACGTTTCACCAGTCTCTGTGGTCGGCATCTTCAGAGGACAGCAACCTGGTTGCTGTCCTCTGAAGATGCTGGCCACAGAGACTGGTGAAACGTTAGGAAGAACAACCTTCAGAACTTGGCCAAAGAGCCCGAAAAACCCAGGACAACCATTAGATCCTGGCCGTGAAAGCCTTTGCGAATATAAGGTTTGCCTTTCACTATGCCAAGCCTGTACTCAGTGGCATGGGGAGGGAGCAGCATAGCTCCAGGACTGTTTTCAGAGCTAGAGCAACACCATATACCTGGGTCTGAAGGACTCTTGGTTTGGTGATGAAATGGGGTGATAATGAGGCTTTCAACTATTATTATTGTCTGCGATCTATTAGCATAAAGGATTCTTTTTGGCAACATGACTATAAGATTGTTAAGAGAAGTTCATCAATATCCGTTTTTATTAATACATTTTTGCTGATACCTGCAGGTTCTTGTGCAGTCACATTAAACCTGGCAGAGCCCTACACACACCTTAAGCTAGTAGCCTTACTCTGCTGCAGGCTATAAAATCCCTGCTGGTACAGCACAGCTTGGTTTTGTATCTAGGTTGCAGGGGGCAGATGCTTGTCTAATGAGACAGCACAGCAGAGAGTCGATGTCTTGCTGTGCAATTGCCTGCGGATGCTTTTTATTTCCAGCTTAATTTGGCAGGATGCTGTAATTGTTGTAGCTATGATGAATTCTCATTACAAATTCCACTGGGAAAAATTTCTTCGTTGATATTTATATGCTCTATGGATTTTTCAAGTGGCAATTATGCCTCACAAACAATTATTTGTCCATCTTGTATGGGGAGCTTTAAAAAGTTACATTTTGGACTACAATTCCCAGAATTCCTTGGCTATGCTGGTTGGGGAATTCTGAGAGTTGACATTCCCTTTCCCACTCCACCACCTTCAATCTCTGGGTTATATACATCAAATGTGGGAAGCCTGTGGCCCTCCAGATGTTGTTGGACTTTATGTCTTCAAAATGTGTGGCCTTCCAGATATTGCTGGACTACAGCTCTCATCAACCCACTGATACTCATGGCACAGTGGTTAAACTGCTGCACTGTAGCCAAAACTGTGTTCAGTCCCAGGTAGCCGGCTAAAGGTTGACTCAGCCTTCTATCATTCCAAGGTCGGTAAAATGAGTACCCAGCTTGCTGGGGTGCAAAGGGAGCGGGAGGGGGAGAATGTGTAGCCTGCATAATTAACTTGTAAACCACCCAGAGAGTCCTTGAAGCACTATGGTGTGGTATATAGGCAGCACACTTTGCTTTGCTTTTACCTTTCACTGTGCTGGCTACTGTGGAAAGGAATGGCAGTTCTGCAACATTTAGAGCAGCGGTTCCCAACCTTGGGTCCCCAGATGTTCTTGGACTAAAACTCCCAGGAGCCTTCACCACTGGCTGTGCTGGCCAGGAATTCTGGGACTGGTAGTCCAAGAATATCTGGGGTCCTAAGGTTGGGAAACACTGATCTAGAGAGTTCAAAACCTCATGACAATTATATTGAATGAGTAGATAGATAACTAAACCCCAGGGAGGCATCATCAGCCCTTAAAATTTGTGCAAGTAATTTTAATTAAGACTTTATAAAATATTATACATTATGTTACAGTCATATTTTCAAATGTTCTAAAAATGATGAAAGTGTGGCATCAATGGCTGCAGCTAAAATAATCCCACCGGTAGTACTTTCATTATACCATATAAACGGTAGGTGTAAAACTTCACCTATTCCATAATGAACATGTTAAAAGGATGTTGCAGAAAGGTTTCCTAATTTGTTTAAAATACACTCGTATTCATGACATTTTTGGTGTAATCTGTTATGAGTGTGGGAGCTCCGATATGTGTGGTGTGTTTGTTCTTCTCCAAGAGCACTCCCCAAACAGTGCATGGATAAATGTATCTTAGAGTTCCAGATCAGTTCCCTCCATTGGAGTGAATGGGGATGACCATCAAGCACCAGCATTCTGTGAGCGCTCATGAAACTCTTGATCAAGAGTCCCATGCTCACAAATACCAGAAGATGGCTGAGTTACATGCAATTACGATGTATCCACTTCCGCATTGCCAGAGTCAGCTCAGAATTCCAGGTCTGCCAGCGGTAGATGTGGCTGACAAAGATGCTGCTGTCGTCAGTTGTTGCCACAATGAGGTATGCCATGAGATAGTGAGTGTGGAGCATTTCTTCAGTACAGTTGTCATTGATCCGAAACCACTGCTCAATCGCACTGCAAGCTTCATAAGGCAAGAGCATCCCCTCCTGGTTAATAACCTCCACTTGGCAGTCAATGTGGTACTCCTGAAGGCTGAAGACGCTTGTTTTCCTGGAAAATTTCACCTTCACAGCTATGGGGGAAGAAACAGAAAAGTTTGGTTTGGTTATAGCAGTCATCACTGCTCTAAATCATGCTTAGAAGGAATGGGCCCAACTCAGAGAAAATCACCCATGCTTAAATCCACAGTCCTGTATGTAAGTCACAAAGATTCTTATTGCCTCTTATACATTGGAAGTTGGGAAATTTTTTGACCCAGGAATCAAATTCCAGTTTGGGAAGAGACTGGGGTGGTGGTGACATACATTCCAGAAGTGGGAGGGGCTAAGGACACCAATCTGTGCCAAAGACAAAGTAGGTAAAGCCAAAGAAAAGGCCACAAATTTGCAACAAAGCACAGATCAATTCTTTGCATGCCTTCCAGAAATTAAATCTTAAACCCTAATATCTCCTTGCCTATTCAGTTCTATGCAACAACTTTCCTTTCACAAGTCAGTTGGTATGTGGGAAATGTATACCGTAATACAATTTTATCTCTGGTCTTCAACAAAAGATTAAAACAACAACAACAGAGTCTTGGGACTATCAAATGTTATTTTGCTTCCACTTTTCCTCAGAGGCATATTTGAATCCCACTCTTATGTATGCCTTTTTAAACAATCTCATAAAAGACTCTAATATACTTCTGAATAAATGCAAAGAGTATCAGGTTGCTTATCTTGGAAACTTTTTAAAAAATCACTTATTTTAGTTCCTTTCAAACCAAGCAGAACGTTGCCGTCAAGCCAATAATCTCCTGTGGCCACTGGGAGATTCTGGCTGTGTTCGGAGAACTGTTCCTACCAGCATGGGGTTTCTAACAATGGGGAAGAAGTGCAGTCATTTTGGTAATGCAAAAGCCATCAAGCAGGCTGAGGAAGTGGGCTGGAGTCCACAAACACTTATGCCAAAAAAAGGTAGAAATACCCCATCCTTATTATAGGCACATGGTTCCCAACCATGGGTCCCCAGCAACGTACCCCCTAATTTTCAGCCCCACTGAGCATGGCTCCACCCAGCCACCCACCCTGTTTTACCCCTGCGAGCACGCACAACTCTTCCCCCATGCTGGGTTCCATTGCACCTGGAACCTACAATGATCGCTGTGCAGAGAAGGAAGAGAGCTGCATGGAGGGAAGCAGAGCCGTGCATGCACCCCGCTTCCTGGGAACCTTGGTTCCCAGATATTCTTGGACTACAACTTCCAGAAATCCTGGCCAGGACAGCTAGTGGTGAAGGCTTCTAGGAGTTTTAGTCCAAGAACATCTAGATACCCAAGGCTGGGAACCACTGCTCTAGAAAAATTGACCTAAGTCTTTGTGTCATGTGGCTCCCTCTTGGTTTTGCTGCAGTCCACTAACATGGTTCGTGTTCTACGCGTTACTCAGAAGTCCCACTGTGTTCAGTGGGCATTACTCCACAGTAAATTCCAGAGTATGAATAAAGGACATTTTCTCTGGACTGCCTGAGATTATCTTTCTTAATCAAAACAAAGAAACAAAAAACACAAATGTCTATTAATTGCACACATGCAGTTGTTTAGCCATATCACAATCTCTATGGCTCATACGCCACCTATGAATTCTATGTAGACATGGGCACTCACTTCAATAGGTTTACAGCTAGGCTTTCCTTGTGAATTTCAAGAGGACTAACATAAAAGAAAATGAAGGCCAATAAAAATGTAAGAAACACCCCCTCACACACGCACACACTAGAAAGCCACCAGATAAAAACAATAGCACATTTTAACAAAATTAGGAACAAAAGAATTACTTGCCAATTGTGTCTGTTTCTCTGTGTGTGGGGTCAGAGAGAGAGAGAGACAGAGACAGAGACAGAGACAGAGAGAGAGAGACAGAGAGAGAGACTTCCATAGGCAGAATACATCAAAAGGTCTGACCATACCCTCTGACATCCCATGATTCCCAGGTGAAACACTGGGTTTTCCACTTGGCAATTTATTTTATTTTATTCATATGCCATCTTTCTACCCATAGGGAACCCAAGGTGACTCACAACAATTAGAATCACACAACAGCAACAAGTTTAAAATGCTACAACAATTATGTGCTGTCCAGTCGATTCTAATTTATGGCAACCATTTTAATCACACCCACCCATTTACACACCTATGGTCACACACACACACACTCTCTCACTAATACCACAATTTACTCACCTGTGGTCACACACACACACTCTCTCACTAATACCACCATTTACTCTTCAAGCTCTATGTAGTCTACAATGATCTTAATAAGCCATAGCACATGCAAGGTTCAAATTAGAGGCAGTGGAGAATAGTGTGCTTATAATATTTCTATTGATAAAAACTTACCAAAACCTTTGTCACAAAAACTTTGTAGTACTCTCTTGTGTCTGAAGAACTCCTCAACTGGTGGACAAGTCTGGCAAGTAGGTTTTAGAAAGCCTGGCAATGACAGAAGATAAATATCTTAGTGGTGGGGTGTGCATTTGATTTCAGAGAAACCAAATATCTGAGATCCACTGAAACATTGCTTGACATCTTGAAGGACAAATATGATAGAATCAATAGTCAAATGCCCTGAAGACTTAAAGTCACCAGTCTTACATATCTCATGCATTAAATCAGGATGGAGGAACCTGCGGTCATTCAGATGTTGAAAAATTACTTCATTAGTCAGGATAGAAAGAGCTGATGAGAACTACAGTCAGCAGTCCTGGAGGGCCATAGGTTTCTCTAGCCTTGCTTCCTTTTTCTGGGGGATGTCATGTAGATCACTGGTTCTTAACCTTGGGTTACTCAGGAGTTTTGGACTGCAGCTCCCAGAAGCCTTCACCACCAGCTGTCCTGACTGGGGTTTCTGGGAGTTGCAGTTCAAAAGCATCCGAGTAACAAAGGTTAAGAACCACTGATGTAGATCACCCATTTAAAATGCAACTTTTCCATGTTGTTCCTTCAGAAATTTGTTTGGTTGTTGAACTTTTATCTTGTCTTTTCTCTAGAAACCACAAGGTTTTCTATGGCATTCGTTCTAAACAGTCCTGTGGTGTAAGTGAAGTTGACAAAGAGTGACTAGCCCAGTGACTAATGAGTTTCTTGGTTTGGTAGGGACTAGAAACTGAACTTCCCAAGTCCAAATCCAAGCCTTTAGCTCAATAATTCTCAGCCTTTGACATTCCAGAAGTTTGGACTTCAACATCCAAAATACTTGACTGTATGGCAAGCTGGCTGGGGCTTCTGGGATTTGAAATCCAGATCTAAACCATCTAGAAAGCCAAAGGTTGAGAATGTTCTTGAGCCACATGAGTACTGACTGTCATATACCAGTCCCTTTATTTTTTCAGGACATGGTCGCAAAAATTAGGGTTTTTTTTAAAGTATCAATGGTAGTTCTTCCGCATCCTTTTTCTTTTGTAAATCATGATTTTGAAATCCTGAAACTTTCAAAAAGACTGGCAGAAAAAACCCCTATAAACATTAAGAAAGCTTCAGGAGTAGTTTAAAGAAAAGACATGACAAAAATTGCATGTACGGTATCCTCATCACTTGTTTCTCCTTAATCATATCTCCTCAAAGCTGTTTTTTACAGAACTAAAAACAATAAAACAATAAACAAATGACCATAAAATAGGCTTGTACATAACACATAGTCCCTAAAAACTAAGGGACACATTCTACAAAGTCATGTAGCAACATGTTTTTTGGATTGTGCAATTTGAGGATGCAGATTTCTTGAAAAATGATGATAATGGTAGTAATAGCGACAGTGGAAATTATTGCTATTACTGTTGCTGCTGTATGAAAATTCCCTGCATAATCAAAACCAGACAGATCAAAAGGGAACAAGTCAGAAACAGTTCTCTAATATATTCATTTTCTATACTAGGTACGAAACTACCATGCAAGTTACCTGTGAGAGGAGGCTTATATTCTTCACTGAGGGACACAAGGCACGAATCCTCATCACTGGGAAACCGATCACAGTTCAAACTGCTTGGCCAGGGATGACCTTGGCATCTTAGGACAGGAGCACAGCTCTCCTGAACTGCCACACACATACTCCGGCAAGGATGGATGAACCTGGCAGGAAAGCAGGTCAAATTTCAGTTGCATTATTAGTGTGGAACATCGCTGAAAGCAGAGCATGGAAAAAAGTACCTTTTCAAAACTGCATTCGCAGAATGGCTGAGGCATTCTAGGAGTTTTAGTCTGATTAAAGTAGCATTTCTAAACTCTAATCAAATGCTTGTGTTATCGGTGAACTCTTCCATAATATACTCTATTGTTATTGGCCATTTAAATAGACTCGAAAGAGAATGACACATATCTACAATGAGAACCAAATATACTTTCAGTGCTACAAACTGAGGCTTATATAGTTGTTCTTACTCATTCTTGTGCCTTGGAATTAGCCTCGCTATTTTCTGCTGAGATCTCCTAACAATAAGACTATATATGATTTACACAGCCCAGTTGCAAAGGTGGACAACCACATTCTCTCCTTCCCATTTTAAATAATTAATTTAATCATGTGCTGTCAAGTCAGTTCTGACTTACGGTGACCCTTGTTCAGGGTCTCCTAGGTGGAGAGTGCTCAGAAGTGGTTTACCATTCCCTCCTTTGTGGGGTGCCCGGAATTGTTCAGTTTGCTCAAGGCCACACAGGCTGGCTGTTCTCCCTAGAGCTCAGTGGGGAATCAAACGCCACACAAGTTAACCAGTCAGCTTCCTTTAAAAAAAAAACTGCTGGGTAGCTCAGTGGCTTAGGTCTCTGGTTGTGGAGCCAGAGCAGGGGAGTTCAATGCTACTGTGCCTCCTTGAGAGGGGCTGGATTTGATGTTTCATAGGGTCCCTTTCAGCTCTGCAGTTCAAAGATGATGATGATGATGATGATGATGATGAATAATAATAATAATATAGAACACAGTGTGCCAGCAGCTGCATCTTTCCAATAACATAATGCAGGGCATAACATAATATAATAGGGGATCCAGGTGGGAGAGAGACCATAAGCTCCAAGAGAAAAGATAATTCCTTGATGGTTGTTGTGGGTTTTTTGGGCTATTTGGCCGTGAAGGGTCTTCTTCCTAACGTTTCGCCAGTCTCTGTGGCTGGCAGCTTCAGAGGACAGTGCTACTCCTGTCCTCTGAAGATGCCGGCCACAGAGACTGGCGAAACGTTAGGAAGAACAACCTTCAGAACACGGCCAAAGAGCCTGAAAAACCCACAACAACCATTAGATTCCGGCCGTGAAAGCCTTCGCGAATGCATCATTCCTTGACTTACTATATACTGGATACCACCTGATATATCACTGGTAGTTTTTTAAAAAGGGAATTGTCATCATGCCCTCCAATAAGCGGGACATCCACTACACAGTTAAGTCTACCATCAGAAAAAGAACTGCACAGTCATGCATACAATCAGTTTTGTTGCCTAAAACTAAACCTTCATTTGATTTCTGGTCAAATCTTAGAGAATTTTCAACTTTTTTTTAAAGATAGAAGTCACATACTTCTAAAGAGGCACAACATGGGAAGTTTCACATTTATCCACATGAGGCATCGTATCTATTTAGAACTTGGAAATACGTATTTCTGACTACAACTCCCATAATCCTTCATCCAGCATGGCTAGGAGCTAGGGATTCTAGGGTCTGTAGGCCACAACAGGAATTTTTCCAAACTTGGCATCTGTTTGAGGAAGGAGAGGTATTCACCCAGATAATACTTCTCAGGTTCCTCTATGTTATGCTGTTTCTCCAAGGCGCACACGTTTAACAAAAATTACTTATTAAACAATTCTTTTCAACTATAGTTCAGTTACTTACCTATCCAAACAGATGGGTGCTAAAAGAGAGCAGAAAAATGTCCTGGCATCAGGGTGGCAGCCAGTTTGCATAAGCCTCTTCCATTTGGCAAATCTTGGAATAGCCTCTGCCAGGTTTGTGTGTCCCATTAGGTTGGGCAGCCTCATTTCTGAGTAGCTGATGTCATGGCACACAGCCATTTCCTTAGGGATAGCTACACACTTGGTGGATAATCCAAAATCAAAGCCCATAGCTGCCCTCAGAACAACAGCCAGGATGAAAGCCCCAGGGAACATCTTGTGGTGCTCCATAAGAATAACAGAGAATACGGAGTGAACTCGACAGGCTGGGCTTTATATACTTCTCAAAGCGCATTTCATTATCAGTCACTTATCAAGTCACTCAAAGCAAGATGGAGCCCTATTGCCTACTTAAGTAATCAATATGATTGCCAGCAGCAGTGGTAGACACAAAAATATAGCATATTTTCCTTAAATGAGGCATTTACACATAATATGTAGAGGTGAGTTCATGTCTGTCAGGCACTTCAGAGTTCTGCATACAGTTGAAAAGACTTTTGCTATGTAGGTGTGAGAATAAATTAGGAACAGTTGGTGGAAAAATGTGAGGGCAGACAACCTGTCTCCTGGGGTTCAGTTTGTCTCCTTGGTTTCAGGCATGGGTGGTTTAGCTGAAAGTACAGACAAGGTGGATTATCAAGATAAAATGTTTTGCTTTTACTAATTGCCTTATGTCTCTTGCTTTTGGTGATGGGAGGGGGAGGGGGTCAGGTGCTTGCATGGAGACAGCTGTCTCCCATTAAAAGACTAGCAAGTCCTTGCTTTTTGAGAGGGAGGAAATTTTCCCTAACCGATTAGATGTCAGAAAAGTCATTTGCAGTGCCTCAAGACTCCATCAATAGAATTTCAAGTTTTTGGTTTATACTGAAATACACAAATCTCCATGCACTGAAAAGTGTGAATAAATCCATCAATCTCTCTGCAGGCACTCCAAAATGTAAGATGGACCAAGAGTCATAAACACCTGAATGGGATCCCAGCATCCACAGAATGAACAACAAAGGGTACCTTTTCATGACTGACTTTCAATATCTTTTAAGGAAGATGTGGACTTGCTCTGTGATGACTATGGAAGAGACTGATGGCTTCACCTTCTGTGAGCCCCAAGAAACTCTTCTGTACAATACACTCCAATGGCTATGAGACTGGGGAGGTGTTCAGAGTGTCAGCAGTATCTACCCTCACAGTTGCTTGTGTGGCATTCAACTCAACTGCTCCCTGAGGCACTGTACTAATACCATTGGATAAAGTGTCAGTAGCATAGTACTCAGGCCTTGGCTTCCTCCATTACCTTCTCAAATTCTCTCTTTTTCATTTAGTTATGACTGAGTGTAGATGACTGGATGTGGGATTCTGGGAGTTGTAATCCAAAACAGTAATGATCCCAAGTTCTGAGGTACAGTTAGCTAATATTTTTAGGCAACCTTAACAGATCCCTTCCTGGAACAGATCCTGCAAAGAACAGGTGAGTTCTTATTTCAAGAAGACCTTTAAACATGCTTCTACCATACTTTACACTGGGTCACATGACACCCTGCCTGACCTTATGCATGGTTTGGTGTGCCTAAATTTGTTGAAATTGGCTTTTGGAATGCGGTACTTTTAGTAATTTGATATGCTTGCAATGTGATGGGTGTACTGCCAATCTTCATCAGGGAAACCATGGCTAGCAAACACACATAAAATGTAATTGATTAAAAAAAGACTGAAGTAAAATGTTTCCACATAAGACATTGTCTTCAGCAATGAGAAGGGGAATGAATCACCATATTTGAAATAAGCAACAAAGAAATAAAATGATTTGATTTTGAATGTTTCTCCTCTTAGACCCCCATGATTAAATATAATTGCTTGCTTTAGCTTTTTCTGAATGCTCTGATCTTTTCTTTCTGGAGCTCAGTTCCCACTGCTTCCTTGTTCTTCCTTCTTTTGTGCAGGATTGGTTGTGCTATTTCTGTGCTAGGAACAGCTAACTTCTTTTGACTGAGTAATTGGTTGATATCTCACTTTTCCAGGGGGGAAAAGGCATTCAAGGCAGTGCACAATCATAAAACACTGATTAAGGACTAGCATAAAAAACAAACCAATTAAAAACACTATTGCAGACACAGACCTAAAAGGAACAGCAGCACCTGACAGGTTGACCCCCCCTTTAACCGCATGCCATTCCCAGCTAGGAGTGATTCTTGCCTGTCCCAGCTGGGCAGGGAGTTCCCAAGTTTTACCTTTTACTCATAGATGTTATACAGTTTACATCCAATCTTAATAGTCTTGCTTATTTTGCCAACTTTAGTTCTACAAGTAGGTTCGTCTCCACCCCATCAACTGGTACTTTTCATCAGAGCAGTAGTGTTCATGAGAGACTTATCCATTTAGGCCCTACCTCTCATAGGTGTGTCCAGATTGGTCTTTAACTAGCTTGGACTGATTCTAACTCTGCAGGAGGACAGCTCCCTCAGGATCCTGATGCAGGCATTGATCATTTCCCGGACTGACTACTGCAATGCTCTTTATGTGGGGCTTCCCTTGGGGGCTGGTTCTGAGACTTCCAGTGGGTCCAGAATGCAGCAACCAGACTGGTGGTTGGGGCAAGCAGATATGATCACATCACCCCAGTTCTGGCTCACCTCCACTGGTTCCCATGTATCAGGTTTTGACTCTCATGTACAAAGCCCTCCATAGTTTGGACCCACGTTACTTGTTGGAGCATCTTGCCCCAATGTCCACTGCCTGACCCACCAGGTCATAGCAGATGAGGCTCCTCCAGGTAGCCAACCCAAGGGAGGCCTGCAAATCTTCTGTGAGAGATAGGGCCTTCTTCAAGGTGGCTCCATCTTTCTGGAATCAGCTCCCAGAGAAGCTTTGCTTGGCCTCCTGCCTAGTAATATTTCAGGGGCAATTGAAGACATGGCTCTTCAGGGACGCCTTCCACTCCAACCCGAGTTGAGTTACATCTCCATTCAGTTGTTATCTGTATCTTTGTTATTTTTTTCTGTCTCGTGCAGTTTTGTTAATACTCTGCTGCCCTCTGTTTTTATATTGTTAGATTGTTTCTGGTTTTATCCTATTAACTATTTGATTGATTAACTGTTTTATGTGAACCACCAGGAGTAGTGCTGCAGTACTAATGAGTGTGGTATATTAAACTGAATGAATGAATGAATGAATGAATGAATGAATGAATGAAATCTGCTTGTAGCCTTCCCACCTGTCTCCTGTCTCTCTCACCTGGATCATCTCCATTTAACTGTTGCTAATCCTGGAAGAAGCTCATGTTTCATCAAGACCTCTCAGGAGGAAGCTGGGTCTGCTCCATTAGTTCGGCTGCCTGCTGATATACCCAGAATAGACCTTGGAGCCCAGTTTCCCTCTTATTTTCTTGTTCATTTAATTGCTCCATGGGAGATTGCTAGAGATTAATCACGAATCATCCCCTAACATCTTATTTTTAGCAGAGAAGTGGAACTCTCTTCAAAGCAATCCAGCAGCTTGCTATAGCAAGTAATGACCTGGCATTCTGGCAAGAATACTGGCCAACAGCTATTATTGTTATTATTTTTGCATGAATCAGGCCGAGCAAAATATTTCCAACACTATATAGTGGAAGTATAGAAATGCATCTTCCTGACTATCTTGCTAGTGAGGCTGGTGAGAATGTAATCCTTTCTGAATCACAGTATTTCTGTATCACCCTTAATCTCAATAAGTACTCAGGGTGATTGGCAATAAAGCAGAATAAATCCAAATGAAAACAACAAAAATGAATTATGTGCTTTGGCCATCAATTTCACTAGGAGATTTTTCCCCCCATTCTGGCAACAAAATTGATTTTATGAAATTTATTTGTATATTGTATTCTTTTATACTTTTAATGTGATTTAGTATGATTATGTTGTGAACTGCCAAGAAAGTGCTTATGGTATGGAGTGATATACAAGCTGAAATAATTAAAAATATTGATGATTGTATAATAGTGTGTGTGTGTGGGGGGGAGGATTTCCTAATGGACAGGCAACTTGAAGCCCTCCAAATATAAGGCTAGAACTCCCACTAACCTCCAGGTGCTACACATATCCCACAGAACATCTGAATACAGTATTTGTTTTCATTGAATAGCCTACTCACTACCCCCATCTCCTGGGCAAGCTGTTTTAGGGGGCCCTTGGTCTGAAATGCCATTTGTTATATCATGGTGGGTGGGGATTGTTTGAGCAATACAGGCCCTAAGGTCCTGTAGGCAAAGAGGACTAGCCATATGGGTTATTCAGCTGTGGGACAAAGTGGGCATTTTTGGTCCCCAAAACGGAGTCATTTCCCTCTCATCCCTCTGCTCTCTGAGAAAGCTCACTGTAGTGAATGGTCTGCCTATGCGTTGAGAGATTTAAAGTGGACTAGAAATGTGTGTACTTGCTCCACAAGTGCTTAAGCTAAAGAACACCTTGCCTGGATGAAAGGGAAACAAGAAATAGCACATGGGCTATTTGTGTCCATTGAAAAAGTCAACACAGTCATCTTGTCTGCCCCCAACACTGCCTTTGTCTGCAGCCTGGGGCCAGTTTCTGATGGCTGTGATAAGAACCAGCACATCAAGAGCTGACAATCATGTCTGGCCTCCAGTTGATATGAGAAGCAGAGAGACTCAATCAGTATGAAAGAACACACCCCACTGAACAAGGCAGACTTTAATTTGGCTGGCCTACTCAGCTTTCCCTTTAATTTGGCGGGTCTTTGTAGCTTCTAGCCACTTATACAGGCTCCTTCAAAAAACAAAGACTCTTGGTGTAAATATGCCTGGAGTTTTGTTTTTAATTGCTACCATAATATTAGATTTCTCCTCAAGGCTGTTAAAATGTGGCTCCGTAACACAAAATCAGTCTGGAATGTCTTGTCTTCTTGCTTGGGCCAAAATCAACCTGTAAAACATTCTCCAACCATTTGAGACACAAGCAATGAATTTCCAGAAAAGAGAAGCAAACAAGCAAGAGGAACCACAGGCTCCCCTCAAAAGTGCCAGTTGGATTCAGATAAACCTAGCATTAAAGATTTGCCTGGTGGCATAAAAAGCTGTTGAATGTGCGCCTGAGTATTGTGTCATGCATATTGAAAGTAAGAAATCTATCACATAATGTGCTACTTTTTTGTATAACAGGCACAAACATAGCCCCCTTTAAAACAATTATTAATGTTTCTTTTCCTGCATAGTTAGTAACATTTTTATCAGAATATATCAAAACGTGCAAGACTTGAATGTGGGAGGAAGTGAAATGAACATATTTGCCCATCCTTAATTCAGAGGTCCGTGTGCATGTGGGTGCAGTGTGGTGCAGCAGATAGAGTGTCAGACTAGAACCCAGGTGACCTGGATTCAAATCCTCATTTGCCCATGGAGTGGGAGGTGGCACTGGTAAAACCACTCTTTAAATGTCTAAAATACCTTGAAAATTCTGCTAAGTGACCAGATATTGTATATAGCTTGAAAGCACTTGTTACTTGCTGGCAGGTGAAGGTAAAATCCTTCACGGATTGCTCCCCTTCACAGAGTGCTGCCTTGTCGTGGCAAAGGGGCTTGAATAATTCAGTGAAGCTATGGGCTATGCTGTGCAGGGACACCCAAGACCGACAGGTCAT